TGCTCTCTGTCTCTCATTCTCTCTCTCTCAAATAAATAAATAAAATCTTAAAAAAAAAAAAAATTAACATGTAGGAGTATTTTCAAATTTTCAGGCATAAGAAATAGGAGTTTGATTGCATAAAATTATTAATGAGAACTGAGTATAAGAGCCTAAAGCTCAACTGAGAAACTAGGATTCACTTCCTGGTTTAAAACAGGAGAGCTGGGGTGATAATGCATTGGTCGGGTTTAATTAAAGCACATGTATAGACAGAGCATCTCTTCACCCAGCATAAGACTTCTTCAAAGCAAATACAACATACGCTATATAAAGGACTGTACAAAGAGCACTTAGTCTGGAAAGCGCCAGATGATGTGCACTTGAGGGGCTAAATTGCTCTCCGTCACAACTACTTAATTCTGCTTATTGTAGGCAAAAAGCAGTCAGAGACAATTTGTCAACCAATGAGCACGACTATGTTCCAATCAAACTTTTTTACAAAAAAAGGTGATGAGCCAGATTTGGTTCACGATTCGTAGTTTGCCAAATGCTGTGTTTAATGTGCTTCTAATGGAGCACATTAAATCAAAGAGCCTCAAGAAGACTGGATTGGATCTTGTTAGAAAATGCTGCCAGACTCTGGAAATTGAACCCTTGGGCACCAGGACGCGGTGAGAGATTATTTAGCAGGACGTGGGGTTTTTTGTTTTGTTCCTAAGCTTTTTAATTTCAGTGAGAACACTGTACCTGTGTATTTGGCAATATTATCCAACAGAAGAGGGTACTTGGTAAGCCTCTGCATTTGGGTAGGAATGATATCCTTCAGCTGCAGACGACGACACAGAGGATTACTCTCAGCATCCTAAAATTAAAATAAGTGAATTTGTGATTCTTATCAGGACTGTAGTTACCCATCATGTGCCATATATTCATCATGGATGGGTCTACAACAACACCGTCCCGGTTATTAAATCAAGACTTAAAATAAGCAAGGTATACCACCATGGCCACACTATACTTCTGCTTTCTCCTTTACTCACACAATGGGGGCAGGGAGCCTTTATCACTAAGCCAGTGGCTTCTTTCTTATCTGTTTAAGCAAAAATTGAGAACATTCATAATCAACTCTAAGAACTGCTTGCTTGTGATAAAACAGTTTTATCTTCACATATTCATTCCTATGATTGGCAAACCTACCAAAAGTTAGTCAGCTGATTTGCTATCTGCCATTCCAAGTAGGTACAATGGATCCTCAGGCTGGATATACCCCAGCTCATCTCTAACAGGGTGTCTGCAAACTTGAGGAAAGTGCCAGACAATAAATACTTGAGGCTTTGCATGCCATACAGTCTTTGTCACAACTACACAGCTCTGCTGTTTTAGCACAAAAACAGCCACAGACAGTACATAAATGAATGAACGTGGCTGTGTGTAGTAGAGAGTTCTGAGATGGCCTTCTAGATTCCCACTCTCTGGTGGACATACTCTGTATAATCACCTCCCCCAGAGTGTGGACAGAACCGGTGAACACAATGGGTTATCACTCATATGATTAGGTTACTATCAGTTAATTTTGTGGGGATCAAAAAGGAAAGTGTTTCCTAGGTGAGTCTGACTTAATCAGAGGAGCCCTTACAAGAAAGCTGCCAGAGAGACACGATCCTTCTGGCCTGCGAGAAAGGAAACTGTCTTGTAAACTACCTGTAGGGGTCACGTGAAAGAGACACGGGCATTCTCTAGGAGCCGAGAGCAGTTTCTAGCCAATGACGACAAGAAGACAGGGATCGCGGTTACACATTTACAAGGACATGAATTCTGTGAACCACCAGGGAACTTAGAAGAGGACCCCAAGCCTCAGAGGAGAACTGCGGCTCCAGCCGACCCCTTCCTTTCAGCCTGGTGCAAGCACGAAGGGAGGACCCTGCCAAACAATATCTGTACTCCTAAACCACTCCACAAACGCTGTGACATAATACTCTTGCATTAAGTTGCTACTTTTGTGGTCATCTGTTCTACTGCAGCAAAAATTTACCACACTGTGTTCCAATAAAACCCCACAAAAACAGGCAAGAGGCTGGATAGGAACTGTGGGCCCTAGTTTACTGACCCTTGATAGACACCAATATACAGACCTCAATAAGCATGGCTGTTGGCACACTCTGGGCTAGTTATGAGCCCATTCTCATGTTCTGACCATATTATTGTAATAGCTTACATGGGACATTTCCTGACAATATCTCCACGGCAAGGTGGACTTCTCTGTCAAATATTTTAACCCTGACATATAATCTTCATTATTTATCATTCCAATATCACCTTTATACTCTCCAGGAATTTAAGAACTAACATATGGCTTTAAAAAGGGTTAACATAATCCTTGTAAGAATCTTAGTCTTAGATTTCCCCCAGTTTATTCTCTATTCAATAAAAAATTTGCACTATTTATTTTCTTACATGACTCACTCAACTCACTTGCACAAAGGTCTGGAATCGAGAATCCTTTTTCTGACGAGACTTGATCATTTCCAGGGCAAAGGGTTGGTTACTGCAAAAGGTAGCAGCGGCATGCTTCAACTTGTCCTCCCCTGGTCCACTGAACTGTGCCAAGAATGCAAAGAACACAACAAAGAATGGCAGACTGAGCTTATTGAAGGCCAGGCAAAATGAGAGACAACCATGATCCTTTCAGTATTCCGCTAAGTGCTCTCAAGTGACAAGAAACGGAGACCTACATATCTCTGTGGACTATCAATGTTTCTCCATTGAAAAGGTCAGATGCTGACACATCCAGACCTTTTCTGATCACATTCCAATGTTTTCCTGCTCACAGCCTCCCACAATTTACTACCTTTCCAGTCTAGACCACTTCTAAATTAAACAGAAAGGTTAACACTAGGGGAATAGAAGACACAAAAGGCTTAAAGACTGAGATTGATACTTGATTGTCTTAGAATCTGACAGCTTCACAAAAGTTACTAACTGCTCCAGGAAGAAACTCTGTGGGATTCTAATTGATGCTTTACTTGTCATACTACAAATTTTCTGTTTCAGGGACACCCGGGTGGCTCAGTTGGTTGAGTATCCAACTCTTGGTTTCGGGTCAGGTCATGCTCTCAGGGTCCTGGGATCAAGCCCCAAGTCAGGCTCCATGCTCAGCACGGAGTCTGCTCAAGATTCTCCCTCTCCCCCTCTGCCACTCACCACACTATTGCTCTCTCTCTCTATGAAGGATGGATAGATAAATCTTAAAAAAAAATTGTTTCAAGTTGAGTAGTGTGCTGCCAAGCCAAGAGAACTCAGTTACAACTTTCACTGCTACCCTGAGATCAAGAAACAAAATGAGCCGCACTATCACTGAGTAGCTGTAGAGTAAGCTGGGTTTTTCAAGGAAGTTAAATCTCCTTAATAACAATAATGCCTGAGCGGGCCTTGAGAAGATGCTTTGGAAAGCTGAGTAAATGCAAGGTGAGAGTGGACCGTGATTCCCTGATCTTTTCAATGAGTCAAGTAGCTGAAAGATCTCCTATGGGATTAGTAGATTCTTAGCCATGATCTCAACATCAACAAAAGGAGTAAGATGAACATTGTTTTAGTCAACTTTCTAGTATTCAATCTTTTAAAAAGTTATCATTGTACGGTTACCAAAATCCCGTGGCATTTCCTCAAGTAATCTGCATACTGAAGTAAGTTTCTGTGAGCATATCTAAACAGTTCCTGTTCAACCTGTGTTAATATTTGGAGAACTGTGTCATACGCTTCACTATTACAGCCTTAACTACAGTACTTTCTTTAAAAGTTTGGATCAAACCCATTTTCCCCTAGGAAAATTTTCTATACATCCTAGTGTGGGTCTCCCTGCTATATCTTCCCATAACAACCTGTACTCTCCCCCTTTTTTGTAACTCTTGTCACACTTGAAAGGACTAATGACTGTTTTCCCACTAGTTATAAGCGCCACCCAGGCAGGAGCCATGTCCGTCGTGATTGCCACCGTCTCCCCAGAACCTCGAACAGCATACATACTGTGGGGTATTCTCACAGAGAGTCAGACAGAAAAACAGAATGTGACAAACAGCTATGATAGTCTCTGAACTCTTTCCTTGTACTGTAAATAAAATCAAGTAATGGTCACTTTTCTACTTTTGTGATGGTAGTTCTGGATCTACAACTGTTTAATGTTTTACAGTCCAATTCTGAGATTTGGACAACAGAAGCTGAAAATTCTATGTTAGTTACATTCTTTTCATCAAGATTCATTTGATTCTCTATTTGTTAAAACACAGAGAACTAGTATCTTTAATTTGATGAAAAAAGAGCACTTAGTTCGAATGAGCACTTATTGAAAAATATTAACGAAAAAAGATGCTAACCAAGAGAATACATACTTGGACCCCTTTCATCTTTACAGTAGCTTTGCAAAATGGATGAGTTTGCATATTTGGAAAGATTAGTTACTCAACCGTGAATCTGATCTTTAAGTGTCTATAAAAACATTAAAATGAAATAGCCAATTTCCTTACCCAGGTCAGCAAATCTTCTCCAATCTGATCAATAACTGAGGTCTCATTCCTCTTTCGAACAGCCTTCATTTGCTCATTCAATCCAACTACGGGGGAAAAAGAAACGGAAAATAATTAAGCACGCACTCATTTTAGTCTGCACTACTGGTTGTACTGAGAACCTAAATTTTCAAAAAAAAAAGGATTTTCCCAGTAGTATAGCTGCCTCTAGTCTCCTTAAATATAAATCTGAACACAATTCTTATGCATACGGATATCTGTGCGCTCTATTTGAAAAACAGGTGCCAAAGCATAAAACAATGTGGAAACAGCACATTACATAGAGTATAGGTACATCACTTATGCAGTTAATTTCAAGCCCCCATCATAACCATGCTCATAAAGAAACTTAAATAGAACAGGTGATTCTGCCCACTGTTCCTCTCAAAATGTTTATGTTCACAGGCAGTGGATATAATCCACCTGAACTTGTCAATGCATGCTGGTGAAACCTAAGATCACCCACAAAGACATAAAAGGCATCAACTTGGGAGGCAGGTGTTGGCAGGTGGTGATGGCATCCTTGACGAAAGAAAGCTTGAGAATTAAGGATCACAGAGAAGCAGTGACTTACAGAGAGAGGAACTGTGGCTACAAAAGTCTGAGGTGACTATAACCAAGGAAAGCCAGCAAGTAGAATTTTTTATATATTTACTCAAGCATTTCAAGCAACAACAAAAGAATTTAATTCCTGAAAATTACCCCATCATGAAATTACACACTGAATATTACATAGACTATATACACACACATACAATTATATGGGATATATTTAAAAACATATACACTGCAATTGATAAGACATTTCCAAGGGTAATTTTAATTATTCATATTTTTCTTTTTTTAAATTTTTTTTTTATTATGTTATGTTAGTCACCATACAGTATTCATATTTTTCATCGCAGACATTAACTTTAGGCCCTAAGTCCTGTGGTAACACTGTATACAAAAGGCTGATGGTGCGGGTGAGTGTCTGGGGAGGGAGGTATTCAACAATCTGATCACTTCTTTACGTGATGTGCTCATGTATAATTATATAATTTCAGGAATGCTAACATGGATACACTTAGAAGATTTTATTGTTATGGTGCTTTTATATACTCACAATCTTTCATCTACTAAAAATGTTAGGGACAAAGATCAGAGTCGATTTTCTTACTATGAAGTTGAAGAATATCTTCCAAGTTTGAAAAAATTTTCCGTAGTTCTGAAGGTGACAGAATTCCTTCCCTGGACACTCGCTGATAGAATACTTGATCAAGAACCTTCAGTGTTCGAACATGAGCTCTTTCAGTGTAGAATAATTCTAAGCAGAAAAAAAGGAAATATGAAATGTTACCTCATTTAGAATAATTCCATGAGACCAAACACAGACTTTAGCTGGAATTAAGCAACAAATGAGCTCTATAATAATTATTTATAGTTTTGAAAGCATGTAGTATCTCTCATGTCACTTTCTCGATTCCATGGGACCCTCCTACATACTGGCTCTAAGAGATGAATGCCGGCAAATGAAAAATATCATTCAAAATTATTCTGGGGGCGCCTGGGTGGCTCAGTCATTTAAACGTCTGCCTTCAGCTCAGGTCATGAGCCCAGGGTGCTGGGATCGAGCCCCAAATCAGGGCTCCCTGCTCAGCGGAGAATCTGCTTCTCCCTCTCCCTCTGGCCCTCCCCCCACTCCTGCTCTCTCTCTCTCAAATACATAAAGAAAATCTTTAAGACAAAAACCAAAAAAACCCCAAACTATTCTGTATATTAAACTTAACAATGTACTCCAAAATCCTTCTGTCTTTTCACAATACTACCCACCAATCACAGCTACAACACTGGAAACCTGTAAGCCCAAACAGCATATAGACTTTCAGTTGAGTCCTCTTTAGAAAGAACAGTACTTTTGGTTATCTAATTGGCCTATAAACCCTCATTTCTGAGGCCAGACTTGTTATTTCACTACAACTCAAAGTTACCAGACACAGGAAGGGCATTTATTTAAATTGCATCCTAAAGACAGTGGGGGGCACAGTACCCATGTCACCCACATCTCTGTCACATATATGCTAGGGTAAAATAAAGAACACTGCACACTAGGATAAAGGGACACCCGGATCCCAGTTTCCTCCCTATCACTTATCAGCTAGCTGTATGATCTTGATTAATTCAACTAATCACACTGAGCCTGAGCTTCCTCATTTATAATCTAGGCATAAAAATAACTTTGGACGAAAGTAAAGTGACGGACCAAGGTTGTCTTAAAGACTGTTCAAGATCTATAATCTTAAATATCCTGAAAGCTAAACACCTTTTCCTTTTAAGTTATCATTAAGAATTGTAGAATCATTTGCATTTTTTGAGTTGGAAAGCTCAAGGATCATCTATCTAGTTTAATTTCCCTTTGTATAGAACAAAAGGCTAGCAGAAATTTTGAAGCAAACTCTAAAGCTCAGAGGCTTTAGTCTAATAAAACTCACTATATGTGAACAACAACAAAATCTAATTAAACTCACCATTAATTACTTCCTGTCTTTTGATCTCAGAAGGCTTTAGTCCCAGTAATACTTCTCGACTAACGAGCTGTTGCCAGTTGGGTGGATCTGTCTCTAAGTCATTTTCAAACTGTTCATCCTCACTTTGACTTTCTCCAAAAGCTATGCTGTCAAACCTGATGAAAAAAAAAATGATGAATTCTATTTGAGGACATCAGATGGACAATGGGAAATAGCACAGATTTTTATATTACGGTAGATAAGTCATATTTCTCAAGTAGTGCTTATTAGCACAGGGCTGAAACATCACCCTCTCCTACAAAATGACTTACATGTGTTATATATACCTCTATAAATATCTTTTGCATGACTTGTGTTTATTAAGAATTTTCTTTTAAAGTATCTAACAGATCTGTGTACAGGTTTTCTTTTCTTTAAAACTAGGATGTTTGAGAAAAAAGATATATTTCTTAAAATATGCCTCTATTGAAAGCTACTTTAGGATTACTCACTTTCGAAAGGGCTTTGGTGTCCCATGTTCAGTCACCCTAAAACAATGGAGAACAAAGAGTCAACATGAAAACAAAATGGTAATCAAGAAATTTATGCCAAGGGACCTGAACACACATTTTTCCAAAGAAGACATACAGACGGCCAACAGACACAAGAAAAGATGTCCAACATCACTAACCATCAGGGAAATGCAAATCAAAACCACAATGAGATATCACCCTGTCAGAATGGCTAGTATCAAAAAGACAAGAAATAAGAAGGGTCGGTCAGGATGTGGAGAAAAAGGAACCCTCATGCACTGTTGGTGGGAATGAAAATTGGTGTAGCCACTGTGGAAAACAGTATGGAGGGTTCCTCAAAAAATTAAAAATAGAAATACCATACAATCTAGTAGATCCCACTACTGGATATTTACCCAAAGAACACAAAAACACTAATTTTAAAAGATACATGCACCCCTACATTTACTACAGCATGATTTATAATAGCCAAGATATGGGAGGAACCTAAGTGTGCATCAACAGATGAATAAAGACGCGGTACATTTACACAATGGAATATTACTCAGCCATAAAATATATGCCATCTTGCCATTTGTGACAACATGGATAGACCTAGAGGGTATTAGGCTAAGTGAAATAAGTCATATGATTTATGTGTGGAATCTAAAAAAACAAATGAACAAACAAGAAAAGCAGAAACAAACCCATAAATACAAAGAACAAACTGGTGGTTGCCAGAGAGGAGGGGGTGAGGGGATGGGCAACATGGGTGAAGGGCGGTGGCAGGTATAGGCTTCCAGTTAATGGAATGTGTGAGTCAAGCGGATGAAAGGCACCGCATAGGGAATACGGCCAATGGTGCTGTAACAGGGTTGTATGGTGACAGACAACAGCTACACCCACGGACAGGACAACATAACGTATAAACTTGTTCAATCACTATGTCCTACACCTGAAGCTAAAGCAACACTGTATGTCAAATATACTTCAATAAAAAGGAAAAAAAAAAGAAATTTATGCCAGGGATACTCAAAACTGGATTAAATTACAGTAGCTAATAAATAATTCTTCTGGATATTCTAATGATTTAATATAAACTAAAAACATTTCAGTACCTAATATTTACTACCAGTAAGTTCTAGGACTTCCTCCCCCCAAAAAAAACCACATGTGGGAAAAATGCTACAAAGTATGGCAATGGTATACAATGAAACAGTTGAAGCTACTCTTAACCTCCCCTACCCCCAAAGATATCACTGAATTACCTTTCCACTTCCCACTCCTCCTCCTGCACTTGGTCTAAGGCAGGAGGTGGGAAATCAAAGACAGTATTGGGAGTCCGAGGGGTGCTATCTATGCAGTCTCCAGATGCTGGTGTTTCTCCAACTTGCTTTGATCCTGAAAAGACAAAATTCGGACACTCAGATGGTGTTAATGAAGATAATAATTCCAAAAAAAAAAAAATCAGTCCGCAAAGAGAAATTCAACCTATCCACGGCCACATTCTTAAACAATTGCATGTTAGCTAGAACCAAAATTCTAATATATAAAATTTTAAAATGCCCTAAAAACAAAACAAAACAAAAAACAGGAATATCATTTTTAAGCAACTTTTAAAAAATCAACGTAACGGGGGCCTGGGTGGCTCAGTCAGGTAAGCCTCAGACTTGGTTTCGGCTCAGGTCATGATCTCAGGGTCGTGAGATTGAGCCCCGCGTGGAGCTCCACACTGGGCGTGGAGTCGGCTTGAGATTCCCTCCCTCTGCCCCCACTCCGCTCCTCCCCCTATGATCATGCACTCTCTCTCTCTCAAATAAATAAATAAATAAATAAAATCTTTAAACATCAACATAAGACATGGAAACAACTCAGAAGAGCATATGATGAGGAGAAACATTCTCTTACATCATCTTTTTCTATGCCCGTGTCAATCTTCTTCACCCAAATTTTATTTATTATGGTGGTTTAATTCAAAATAATGACCTCATAATTCTTTTTCTTGATTTACTATCTTTAGGTAATATCTGTTTCTTCCTCCTCTGAGGATTCTGCCCACTTATACTTCCCACCTTCACTTTCCCCCCATTTCTTCCCAGTGTGTAATAATATTATTACTAGTTGGGTTAATGCTTATTACCTAAGTTTAAATGATAGAATTATATCTATACTTGTTCCATCAAGGAGTTAGTACCTTAACTCTCTTCTATACCAAATTAGGTATTTAGTATCCCTATCCTTCCCTTTAATTGTATTTCTTTCCTTCTACCTTTCATTCTTTCAACTACATTTTTACTTGTGTCATTAGGAGGACTTTTTACATTTCCATGATCTGTGGCCACAACTAAATATTCTCTGCCTTGCCTATTTGGTTGATTCTAAAAGTCTGAAAACCCAGAGTCCTTACCTCATTTTGCCAATCTACATACTGTCATACACAAAATACAACATATAATGTATTACATACACATATTATTCCTGCCAGGTTAGGAGGTATGTTAAGATTATGTTTCCTTTTCTGCTGGTCCAATGATGCAACTCCTGGGTCATTTGAAATAGAATGTTCATTCCATCAAGGTCATATACTCCATCAGTTACTTCAAGATTACGCCAGTTTTATTTTGTTTTACATTTCTTCCTTTCCTCTACTTCCCCATGTCCCCCTTTCCCTCCTTCCTTCTCTCCCTCCTTCCTTCCTTGTATGGTGGCCACAGCTGGAGCCTGGGTAGTCTCCAATGGCATATTTTGTTTCACATTTAAATCATGACTTAACTTTCTTGAACAACTTCATTTATCTTAGCATTTCTAAACGACTTTATTGCTGTCAAAGCACTTATCATTTTATCAAGTCTCAGATTTCTTCATTTGCTACATCATACTACCAACCGCTTAAAATCTCCCTTTTTCTTATCCCCTAGTCCTTGCGTTCCAATCTGGGGCAGCTGCTCCCTCGGCCTGTGACCTAACTATCGTCCGAGACCTGCCTGCCCTTCACCACTTCCCTGGTATGTTTCCACTACTTCCTGGACCCCGTAACATTTTCTTCCTTCATTTTTCTCTCATTTTACAGGAGTGTGTATCTACAAATCATGTTCAAGGAAAGGGCACATTTCAGTTAACATTTGAATCCTGGCATATCTGAAAATGTCTTTGTATCTTCCTTCATTTCTGATGGGAAATTCGGATGGACATAGAATTTTAAGTTCGATAATTTTCTTTTAGTAAGTTGCAAGGCCTTGCTCCCTTGTATTCTAGCCCCTGGTGTGATTATGAGAAATGTGAGGCAGCGTAATTCCCATTTTCCTTCCCTTCAAAGCTTTCGGGGCTGGTGCATGGAAATTTCCAGAGACATTCTAGGTATGGCTCTTGTTCTTATTATTGTTATTACTATTGTTATTATTCATCGTAGGTGGTTCCCAGTCAACTCTTTCTGTCTTAAGACAAGTCGTCTTCCCTCTGAGATGGTTTCTTCTATCATTTCTCCAACTGCCTCTCCTCCATTTCCTCTGCTGATGTTTCGTCAAAGAGACAGACGTCGGCAGACATCGGACCTCTCAAGTGGCTCACTACGTAATTCTTGTCTCTCCGATTTCTATCTCTCGACATTTCTGATATATGTTCTCAAATACTTCCTTGACTTTATTTTTAGGGACCTTTTTTTTTTTAACTCTTGGCAGCTGTGGTGGTTTGAAAATATGTGCACAAATTCTTTGCTACTCCTCTCTCCCTTCAGGGGTGGAGCCTAATTCCTCCCTGCTTGAATGTGAGCTAGATTTAGGGGCTGGCTTCTAACTTGCTGACATGACAATGTGCGTCCACAGAGACTAAGTCATTAAAGGTATGGGGGCTCCTTTCTTGCTCTCTCTTTTGGATCACATTGGGGGAAGTTGGCTACCACGTCATGGAACATTCAAGTAGTTCTATGGAGAAGCCCATACAGTGGGAAGCCAAGGCCTCCTGCAAGGAGCTAAGCCCCCCTGCTACCAGCTACCTGCGTGAACGCAGAAGCACATCTCTGGCCCCAGCTAAGCTTTCGGATGACTGACTGACACCTTGACCGCAACCACAGGAGAGACAGAATTGCCCAGCTAAGCTGCTCTCATGTTCTTCACCCACCAAAAACGTGACATAATACGTGTTTTTTGTGTTAAGCTATGAAGTTTTGAGGTAGTTTATCACAAAGCAGTTGATAACAAATACAGTAGTTACTGTATTATATGTAATAGTTATATTAAATCATTTTTTTTTTGGTCTCTGAATGCTCTTTTATTCATAGCATTATTCTTGTTTTATAGATATAATAATTTTTAAAATTTCCCCAAGTATACTATCTAATTTAGAGGTATTTTTTTCTAAGTTCTTGTCTTTTACCTAAATTACTGTTTTCTGCTAGGGGCAGTTTTTCTGTTTATTTTTATTCTCCTTTGTATGTCATTAGTAAGTTTGGCATTATGTATTATCTTAGGTCTTGATTCTAACAAGCAAATTTTGCCAAGAGTGAGTAATACTATTCATATCTGCGTATGCAAGACTGGGTAGCTGCTCCGGCTTTCTCTTTGCAGCTATATGAAGTAGGTCCATTTCAGCTGGGAGCTCTCTGGGCAGGGTGAGAGTTTGGCATGTTTACTGTCAGGCTTCAGGCCCCCAAATGTTAGAACTCCAGGGCACTGATACCACGGAGGACTTACCTTTCCCTGCACAATTCATTCAACTCTCTAAAAGAGAGCACACTCATTTTCTTCGGGTCCATAAATGACGGACTCATATTCTACCATGCAAGGATCAGGAACTGCTGACATCATTGTTTTGATTACAGACCTTCAATTAATTCATTATTTCCAGCTTTACTTCTTACTCATGCACTCCATAAGACATGCCAACTCAGAGCCCAAAGTCTCTCCAGGGTTCTAATGGGCCAACTGGCTTCCACCTGGGATGGGACTCCTTGAACAAGTTATGGACTCCGGCTTCCTCTATGTTGTTTTATCCTTCCAACCATGCTTGTCCACTTTTAATCTCCCCCAGATTTGTTGAAATCTCTTGCTTGTTGATAACATCTTCTCCTCCTCTACTTCCTTTCTCTTCGTGTTTTTTATTTAGTTGCTATTGGTTACTTATCTGCCATGTTTTTAAGTTCAATGAGAGCTGGGAGCCATGAATTCATGCATGTACTCAACCCAACATCTTCAGAATTCCATATAAGACAAAACCTCCAGATTGTTCTATAACTATCACCCTCCTTCTTTGTCTTAAATCCACGCCCCCCCACCCCGTTCTGCTACAGCCCTCTCAAATAGAGACGGATGTTTCCAACAGACACTGTGTACTTCAGGGTGGAGATGAGATAGATACCCTTGTTCCTCAATACTACTTTTAGACTCTATCTTGCCTTCTTATAAAAATCCCTTGCTGCACTGAGATTCTCACTTCTAGGTATTATCACATGCTCTCCCCCTCCTCGTGACAATCATCTAGCAATACTGAACCTTCAGCTGCTGGCTCATAGTTCTCCTCTCCCTGCTAGTATCACATGAGGTGACCTCAAAATTTGGGGATGTTAAGGTATTCCAACTCCTGACTTCTTGGTTCCTTACTTTCTTTATCTCTAGTAACTTCCCCTGGGCCACTTCAGTGACCACTCCCACAGCTTTATCCTTGACCGTGTCATACCAGAAATTGGAATGCTTCCAAAATCACTAATACAGATAGGCATTCCCTTCTCCAAATAAAATCACTGATTCTCCCAGCTCACTTGCTTAAGAAACCCATTAAAACAAGTATGAAGAAATATGGTAAGAAGCTCTTCTCTCAATGATCTATAATTACTTCACATCTTTCTCTACTCTTCAAGTCCCCTTGCCCTTCTCGCTAAGCCTTCTCTCTCTGCTGATAACCTTGCCCTTCATACACACTCTGCCTCTCATCTCCGCTCTCCTTCTCAAAACTTTGTCCTATTAGTTATATACAGTTTACCACCTACTTCTTCAACCTCTTCCTCTCAATGGGCTTCCCTTTAGTATTAGAAAAAAAAAAACTTTAGTAACTCAGATTTTTTAAAAAGTCTTTTCAGACTACCCCCCCCCACATCTGCCTCTAGCTACTGACTAAGTCCCCCCAACACTCCTTTTCTTTTCCATTACTGGATTTGGCACAATTTGAATTTTTACTTATGTGACTATCTCCCCATGAGACTTAGCGGCGCAGGGCAAGAATCTCCGTATAATTATTGTGTGCTAACATCTGATACAAAGTTAATGCATGACAGAGAGCTCAGTCAGTATTTCTGAGTGGATGAAAACTCAAAATTATCATTCAGCATGGATTTATCACTGGTTATAGAACATTAAAATGTTAAAATTAAATTAAATTGGGATTCTTGATTAGAAAAATATGCCACCTTGTTTGTTCCTTAGTGTGACTGTTGTAAAATCTTGATACTTAGTTAAGTCGCACTGCAACATTAGCTCACCTGTATCATTCTCTTTCCCTCCTTCCTGGGAAGGAGCGGCTCCTGATGCCACAGAGGACATGGAATTGGCTGGCAGGTATCCGACATCTGTTCCTTCACCTGCTGACCCACTCTGGCGCACCTTAGCAGGATCCTGAGGCTCAGGACTTACAGAAGAGGGTGCGGGTGAGTGCTTTGGGTGGCGCTGTTTCTGTAGCTCCATGGCTCTGCCAACTGAACAGAAAGCAAGTGTTAACAGTTTGTGTTGCAAAAAAGCTTAAAAAGAAAAAAAAAAAAAGATGATGTTAAAGGATCTAAAAAAATGTCTGGAACATGGTGGGCCCTAGGAAAATATGGATTATTGCAGAGCGAGGAATAGATAGATAGGAAGAAATGGAAGAAAGGAGGGAGAGAGAAAGAGAGAGAACAAAAGGAAGGAAGGAAGGAAAAGAAAGGCAAGAGGAAGAAAGAGAGAGGGAAAGAAAGAGAGGAAGGCGGGGAAGGTGGAGGAGGGCTGGAGAGAAGAGAGGAGTAGGTGGAAGACGATGGCGAGAGACAGGAGGGAGAAAAGGAGATGAGAGCAATGGTGGAGGCGGGAATGCTGAGAGACAGAGGCACACAGAACTGCACTCCCTTGTGAGAGTGAGGATGAAGCCTGTTAGCTCTGTGAGCTCGTGGTAAGCCCCCCCCACCGCCCCCCTCCCCAACACCTGCAGATTCATCAGCACAACGTGCCTCAGAGACTATGGAGATTGCTCGAAGCCTGCTCACGAGCCCTGTTCATGTCGGGAACCACAAGAGGTGAAACCCACGCACATCATCATTGCCCACATTGCCGCACACCCTCATGCAGCTCTGGACATCCCTGATCCTAAAATTCTTCCTTCCCTCATTCCTAAATCCTTCTTCTACATGCCTTGGAACTCATGGTCAGAATCTGTGAGATACTCCATTCTCCTCAACCTCTTCTCTAAGAATTTCCTTCATCTTCTCAGTGTTTCTCAACAAGGGGAACTACCGGTATCTGACTGAGAATTCCTCACGGTGCAGAACATCCATGTCACTGTACCACAATACCACCCTCACTCCAACCTGGCCAGTATTTTCAAACGTGGTCCTGCCCAGTCGAAGACCACAACGTGACCTGATTTCCCTCCCTGAGGTACCACCCTCCCTAATTCTCCCCGATCAGTGGGCTGATCGCTCTCCATTAGACCTGACGGTGGAGGGAGGTCAGGAAATAAAGCACAATGGAGAGGCGGAGAAATTGCAGAAGTATGGAGAGCGAGTAATATGTATATAGAAAGATGAAACAAAGAATGGTGGAGAAATCCATGCACGTTTTGTTTTTTTAATTTAACAAATAGAAGTTGAATGCAAACAAAATCAGATTAGGTAAGTAAATTATGTTATGGACAACTGCTAAGATGCTGCCATTCAAGAAGATGTTTAAGATAATTATAGAGCCCACATGGGGGTAGTTAGTTCAGAAATAACCTTGAACATAAACAAGGCACAATGGAAGCTCAGTGGGACCATTTCAAGAACACCTTTCTCCAGCAATTCATTCTAGCTAACTGAGCCTCCGAAGGGAAGACGGCAGGGGCTGGTGAGAACGCCACTTTTCCAGCTTAACATACTTGCACTGTTGTCATGACGGCTTGGTCTCCTTGGGGGTCCCAGGATGCTGGGGAATCCTCTGCGCTTCCCTTTTTCTTCGCCTTCTCGATCTTTCTTCATACTCTGCTAGAGTTGAGGGGCAATCAGAGAGGTAAAAGATACATAACAGAGTAGATTTCTTTTGTGGCTTTCAAACACACAAATGCAATTCTAATGGGCAGCTGGAAGAACTGGTTAAACGGGAGTGAAGGACACTCACACACAGCACTTGGTAGAGGTCGGCACGTGGTACCGCACACACATCAAACTCAAGATGTCTTTTCAACCCCTTTAGAGCTGGTAATTTTGGAAAACCAAGAAGTAGTTTTATAACACATCTACTGGGAGCTTGTTCCAAGCAGTTCATTCATCCGTTGAACGAGTACTTAATAAGAGCTTTTAGCACAATGCCAAAAGCTGGGGACACGATGAAGGGGGCCCTTGCCCTCACAGAACTCCACAGCCTCACAAAAAGTAAAGGGATACATCTGTAATGACAAACTGTGACAGGTGCCATACAAGGAGAGGCAAAGGCCGTGACAGGGTTGGGACAGCGCTCTGTATAAAGTGCCATCTGCATTCTTCACACCGTCTCACCATTACTTCACATGCCTGAATTTCCTGCTAGATTTCTGAGTTTCTTGAGAACAGGGGCCATATTGCACACCTATCAGCATGCCTAGCACTAGCCCACGGAAACAGGAAGGACTAAGAAGAAAAGCACTGCAGCCCGTGTCAAGAAGCACAGAGACCTGAACACATTATTATCCAGTCTCACCTTGATTTTTGGAAGGAATCCAATCCGACCCCGCTTGTGCTCCAAATTTCGAGGTTCTTTCACTTTTACCCCCAAGTGCTTCATGTACATAAGGATAACATACTGCATTGTTGAACTAGAGGAAAAGGATGAAATCAAATAAGAATTCTGAAAAGGGAGGGTGGACAGAATAAAGCTATCGAATGGCTTCAAAAACCCCAATGCTGGAATCCTTAGAATTCATTCATCAAGTAAAAACTAAGGAAGTATCTGTTCATTGCAAATAGAAAAGGATTCTAATCAAGACACTAGAATATTAGTCAAATAAAATCGAGGCCACCAGAGGGAGATAGTCCGAATTCTGAAGTTAAAAGAAAGAAATCCTAATTTCAGACCAACAGGAGAAAAGATAGTTGTTTTTTTTTTTTCATAAAATTCTAGGGGCGAAAAAACCCAGTTATATTACCTCTTATCTTCTTCTACAGCCTGAGCAGTCATCCTAAAAATAAAAATATTTCAAAATTAAATAAGTTGCTATTAGATACCCAAAACAACAGAATAGCACCGGATGCTTTGGGCCATCCTCAATCTCTGTCACCTGGCATAAAATACCAGAAGAACTCAAACCACCCAAGGGACTACAGGCTTTTCTCACTCATGTCATCAACTGTCAATGTTCTCTGGCCTGAAATAGTTTCAAAGCCTATGAACTGAAACCACTGAAAGTGCTCAACCTGTTTCTGATCAGTTGGAAATTTTATAGTTACTCGTTTTACCAATACACAGAAAAAGAAACACAAGAACTTTTCTAAAACATCAGCAAAAATTAAAACATTAAAACCCCCCTATATAGCTCCACATACACAATCTGACACCCCTTCTAAATTTGCTCAAAGTGTGCTTTAAGCATAATGAGCATCTCAGGAGAGAGGGCATGTCCACATATACTTCTGTTACTTACAACACTTCTTCAATTTTGGCAATGATCTGTTCCGCACATGCCCGTTCCTTCTCCAAAGTTACCCGGTCCTTGTCTCGCTCTGCGTCGAGTTTAGTCAGTTCGCTTTCAGCCAAGGTCAGCCCCATGCTACGCTTCTGCCTAAAGGGAACAGAACAAACTTCCTAAGGTAGCCTACAGAAGAACGATCTCTCTCTGGAGATGCTTTATCAGAGTTTCCATAGCTAGCAAAGGCAAAATGTCACAGTTTTCTATTTTGGGGCCCCTGTCACCTAGGACACCAGAGAAAAAGAATTCTAGAGGCGATCACTCAACAGAACACACATCCTGAAGGAGCACACTTAGCCTAGCAGAGCAGTGAGCTCAAATCCTGAAAGCCTATGGAATGGGGACTAGGGACTCAGCACCACAACAACTCTTTGACTCCAAGGGTCCATTTATGTTTTAATCACATTGATAAAGACTACATGCTAGGTGTGTAACCTTTTCCTACCCAAAAAAAGGTTAATTCAGAATGACCATATCAACTTATATCACCCACCAAGCTTACCGAAAATCTTCCAAGTGCCTCTGAACTTCTGGGTGGACTCTTTCCTGCATAGTTTGGATATAGTGGCGGTGCAGATCCTCGGGTATAAGCTCAGGTCTTCTTTTTTCTGCATAAAGAAAAGCCAAGGAGTTATGTGATTTAAAGGTATATTCTGTGCATTACAACTGGCAACATATCGATGTTATTTGGTGCGAACTTGCAGTAGGACAAAGACAAGGTCTTCAATGCATTTTATGTATTTTACCTCACAATGCAGATTTCATATACTATCCTTTAAATGTATTACAGATTCTCTTTCCGTTGTGATTCAGATGCCCTACTGGTCACCACATGACCGATAAAACCTTTAGAGATGAGCTGAGCTACAACTCTACAGAGATGTAATTCTCCAGGATACTGACGCTCCACACTTACCTAGATCTACTGATATTTCATCAGGCACAGAAACTTTCAGGTGCTGAAACAAAAATGCAAACAGAAAGTCAAATACCACTAAGGACTTTCCAAGATGTATATATAAGTACTTGTATAAAGTGAAGAGATGCAACTTGGATAGCTATTTTTACAATCGCATTCAGGTATAAGCTCACTTATCCCATCCAAATGTCACAGCTCTGGAAGGTCCCACTGTTTAAACTTGAAAATAAGCCCTTTCCCCAAGGATCATGCTATACGGAAAATATCTATAGTCACTGGTTAATATACTTAGTTATACATCATTTGAATCAATACGGCTAAAACTTAAACTGTGTGTATATTTTATGAAAAACTTGGTCATATATAACCATGACTTTTTTTTTGCTGTATTTGAGACTACTGACCACATTGCCAGTAATTTCCTATGTAAAGTTAAAGAACCCTCACAACATTCACGCCCCAGTGAGGAGGTACTGGATGTCAATGTTGAGGCTTTGGAGTATTAAATCGCCAATAATCTTCTGCAGTTTTTACTGTTGAGCCAACTAAGGTAACTGAGTCATAATTAACTTCTACTTAGCTAGGATTTTCCCCATAGTAACTGTAGTTTCTGGTCCCATTACCACATAGCTGTGTTTTCTCTCTTATCAATCTGGGAAATGACTTAGGGAAAAAACTTATTTTACATTTAGAGAAATAATCTTAACTACTTTGTGCTTACTTTGTATTGTATACCTACTTAAGTCATCTACTTCCAGAATTTAAACAATTCTTATTAGATCTAAAGCTTTGTATTAGAAAATAAGTCATTGCTGAAAATTACGAGATCTCTAATATTTGTCTGAAGAACAGTGAAATAGATGTCAAAGCTTTCTCTTTAACTGAAGCTGCCACACAGTAGCTCAAATCAAGTGTCCTAGAAGTACTGCTATCACAAAATGCAAAAAAGGATTTACATGCTCGTTTCTGTATTATTGGAAACAAGTATCACCTGTGGTATAAAAGAATAATTAGCAAATAAATCTATCAGGGTTCTTACACTTTAATGTTGATAAATTTAATACAGATCATGAGCAGCAAAATAAAGATCTGACTTAGCTTGGAGCTCTTAAGAAATGTGAAATTAACTCCTGGGGATTTACCTGAAGTAATGAAAACACTAATTCTAAAAAATATCTGCACCCCTATGTTTATTGCAGCATTATTTACAATAGCCAAGATACAGAAGCAACCTAAGTGTCCCATCAATAGATGAATGAATAAAGAAGATGTGGTAGATACACATAATGGAATATCACTTGGCCATAAAAAAACAATGACATCTAGCCATTCACAACAACATGGATGGACCAAGTGGGTATTACGCTAAGGAAAAATGGTCCAGCCAGAGAAGACAAATAGCATATGATTTCACTTATATGTGGAATCTAAAAACTAAAAGCAATGAAGCAATGAGCAAACAAACAAAAAGAACAGAAATGGACTCATCAATACAGAGTAAACTGATGGCTGCTAGAGGGTAAATGGGGTGGAAGATAGGTGAAATGAGTGGTGGGGATTAAGAGGTACAAACGTGCAATTACAAAATAAATAAGTCACAAAGTACAACATCCATTCATGATAAAAACCCTCCACAAGGCAGGTCTAGAGGGAACATATCTCAACATAATAAAGGCCATATTTGAAACACCCACAGCTAACATGTGACTCAATGGGGAAAAACTGAGAGCTTTCCCCCTAAGGTCAAGAACAGGACAGGGATGTCCACTCTCACCACTTCTATTCAACACAGTACTGCAGTCCTAGCCACAGCAAGCAGACAACAAAAAAAAATAAGGGCATCCAGATTGGTTAGGAAGAAGTAAAACTTTCACTATTTGCAGATGACATGATATACTATATACAGAAAACCCAAAGATGCCACCAAAAACTGCTAGAACTGATAAATGAATTCAGTAAAGTCTCAGGACACAAAATCAACTTATTTGTATTGTATACCTACTTAAGTCATCTACTTAATGTGTTGCATTTCCATACGCTAATAATGAAACAGCAGAAAGAGAAATTAAGAAAACAATCCCATTTACAATTGCACCACAAATAATAAGATACCTAGGAATAAACCTAACCAAAGAGGTGAAAAACCTGTACTCTGAAAACTAATAAAAGAAACTGAAGATGATACAAAGAAATGGAAAGACATTCCACGTTCAAAGATTAGAAGAACAAATATTGCTAAAATGTGTATATTACCCAAAGCAAAGTACACATTCAACGCAATCCCAATCAAAATACCAACAGCATTTTTCACAGAACTAGAACAAATCAATCCTAAAATTTGTATGGAACCGCAAAAGACCCTGAATAGCCAAAGCAATCTTGAAAAAGAAAAGCAAAGCTGCAGGCATCACAATTCCGGACTTCAAGTTATATTACAAAGCTGTAGGCATCACAATTCCGGACTTCAAGTTATATTACAAAGCTGTAGTGGTCAAAACAATACAGTACCGACACATAAACAGACACACAGATCAATGGAACAGAACAGAAAATCCAAAAATAAAGCCACAACTATATGGTCAACCAATTTTTGACAAAGCAGGAAGAATATCCAATGGGAAAAGGACTCTTTAAGAAATGGTATTGAGAAAACTGATAGCAGCATGCAAAAAATGAAACTGGACCGCTTTCTTACACCATACACAAAAATTCAAACCATTTTAAAGATCTAAATGTGAGACCTGAAGCCATAAAAATACTCTAATAGAACATAAGCAGTAACTTCTTTGACATTGGCTGTAGCAACCTTTTTCTAGATATGTTTCTGGAGGCAAGGGAAACAAAAGCAAAAATAAACTACTGGGACTACATCAAAATAAAAAGCTTCTGCACAGCGAAGGAAATGACAAAACTTAAAGGCAACCTATGGAATGGGAAAAGGTATTTGCAAATGACATACCTGATAAAGAGTTAGTACCCAAAATATGAAAGAACTTATAAAACTCAACACCCAAAAAAACAAATAATCTAATTTGAAAATGGGTAGAAGACATGAACAGACATTTCTCCAAAGAAGACATACAGATGGCCAACAAACACATGAAAAGAAGCTCATCATCACTTACCATCAAGGAAATGCAAATCAAAACCACAATGAGATATCACCTCACACCTGTCAGAATGGCTAAAATCAACAACACAAGAAACAAAAGGTGTTGGCAAGGATGTGAAGAAAAAGGAACCCTCGTGCACTGTTGGTGGGAATGCAAACTGGAGCAGCCACTCTGGAAAACAGTATGGAAGTTCCTTAAAAAGTTAAAAATAGAACTCCCCTACAATCCAGCAGTCGCACTACTGGGTATTTACCCAAAGAATACAAAAACTCTCATTCAAAGGCATACATGCACCCCTATTTTTATAGCAGTGTTATGTACAATAGCCAAGATATGGAAGCAGCCCAAGTGTCCATTGATTGATGAATGGATAAAGAAGATGGTGCCTAGGGCGCCTGGGTGGCTCAGTCGTTAAGCGGCTGCCTTCGGCTCAGGTCATGATCCCAGGGTCCTGGGATCGAGCCCCACATGGGGCTCCCTGCTCGGCGGGAAGCCTGCTTCTCCCTCTCCCACTCCCCCTGCTTGTGTTCCTGCTCTCACTGTGTCTCTCTCTGTCAAATAAATAAATAAAATCTTAAAAAAAAAAAAAAAAAAAAGAAGATGGTGCCTAGACAGACAATGGAAATTATTCAACCATAAAAAAGAATGAAATCTTGCCATTTACAATGACATGGATGGAGTTACAGAGTATAATGCTAAGTGAAATAAGTCAGTCAGAGAAAGACAAATACCATATGATTTCACTCATAAAACAAATAAGCAAAGGGAAAAAAAGAGAGAGACAAACCAAGAAACAGACTCTTAATTAAAGAGAACAAACTGAGGGTTACCAGAGGGAGTGGGGTGGCAGTTGGGTTACACAAGAGATGGGGATGGGATTAAGGAGGGCACTTGTGGTTATGAACCCTGGGTGATAGATGGAATTGTTGAATCACTATACTATACACTTGAAACTAATATAATACCATATATTAATGAACTGGAATTAAAATAAAAGCTTAAAAGAAAAATAAATAAGTCAGTCATGGTGATGAGAAGTATAGCACAGGAAATACAGTCAATAATACCGTAATAACTTTCTATAGTGACAGATGATAACTACGCTTTTCATGGTGGGCATTATATAATGTATGTAATTGTTGAATTACTATGTTGTACACCTGAAACTAATACGATACCAAATGTCAACGGTACTTCAATTTTCAAGAAAGGAATATAAAATTCAAATATATTTCAATACACTGTCATTTTTTCATGGAAGTAAATTATCTTAACAAGTATAACATATAATATTTTAAACAATGGCAGTATTATCAGAACCCTAATGAATTCACTCAATAAATATCTGAGTGATCAGTCTGTACCATGATCTATTCAGTGTTGGAGAAAGAGCAACAAACAGAGCAAAAATATCCGCCCTCAGGGGATCTGTACATTCCAGAAGAGCAGGGACAGAGACAAAATAAATAAATAAAAGTTCTATGGACAAAAATAACACAGGAAAGGTGACAGAAAGGGAAGGGGGTAAAATCTCACGTAGGTTGGTCAGGGATGGCCTCCCTGAGAAGGTAAGTGTATCCCACCACGTGGAGGTGTGTAGGCAACTGTGTAAAGGAAAACAACAAAAACGGGGCAAGAGCTGGAGGGAGGAGTGGAGCCAAAATGTTTCTGTGTCTGTCTGTTTTAAATAAACTCACAATGTTTGCTTGCTCATGTGAACCATTCAGCAGAAAACAAAAAATTGGGTGATGCTGGAGGGAAGGATGACAACTGGCCGGATCCCGCTGTTCATCAGGCAGAAGGAAATACAAGGTGAACAGGGAAGAGTAAGCCTTGGAGAAAAGAAGGCAAGCTCTCTGTGGCTTCAGGAGAAAGGCCAGAGCGTAGAGGATGGTGAAGGTAGGGGATATATGTGGTAGAAGTTCTTCTGCAGATACTTCAAATTTCTCACAGAAACTGCAAGGTCCTCCACTGAGAAAGGACAGGAAAGGAAGCGATGAGGTTTCGGGAGAGGGAAAGTGGGCAACAGTCATCAAAGAGCAGTGAAACCGTGGAAGGCCCGGGGAGCCGCAGCACGATTACCCAGGAAGCATTAAGGGTTGTGACTTACCCTATGGAAAGGCTAAGAATAATAAAACTCATTAGTTTAAAAACTTTATAAAGATTTCTACTGGTAAAATAAAACACTATTATCATTTATGTAAGATGTTTCCTACCACTTTTTAGTTAAACTTGTGCCTCTGAACTTCAAAGAGGCCAACCAGAGTTCATTATGCAAGTATTATCCTTTGGATCCTAATACATATGTATTATATCATTTGTGTTCTCTTTTGCACTCTCTTAATTATGCACACAGATAAACCCCAATATATATACGTACCCCCTAACACCTACTGTGAGAATTCATAGCCTACAACTCATTTAGAAATGATAAAAGCAATGGTCAAGAGTAATCAGTAACTGAGATACAGTACAAACGTCCGAAAGTCCAAAACAATAAAGCCCAAAACCAGGGGAAGGAAGACTGGAAGTAGGAGTCCAATGACTCAATGTACTACAGCAAAGATTATATAATATTAATTGGTAACTTACTGCAGATCGATCCAGGAAGAACTGATGAAACTCAAGGAAGACACGACGAGTCTCCTTGGAATTGGTCTGCTTATACAGGTCTGAATAGAGATAACAAAGCTGTAGTAGAGGAAGAAATGGAAAAGAGAGAAAAAGGGCGCAATCATGAAAAATGTCACCTGCTAGATCTTCACCAAGAGGAAAGTTTCCAGCAAGTAGGCCACTACGAGCAATGTCATCATTATCGCAACCAAGTTTTTTAAAAAATAATTTAATTTCTTTTTAACTATCTTACGTATCTATCCTGGTACGTTTAGAGACTCATCTTGCAGAAGTGAGAGGTTTTATAGCGTAAGAATCAGTGTAGGAACTCTGAGCTGGCTGAACAGTCAAAACACGTTACCAGCGTCGCGGGGTCAAACTGTGAGACCACGTGGTGTAAGAAAACAGCCAGGTGAGCAGGGCGAGATTTCAGCAGTTCGATGCTCTGGAAACAGCTGCACTGCCCATTGATCTAAAAGAGGAAGTACCGACACATCAAGAACTCCATCACACAGGTGCAAAATGTAAGGTAAGCTCAGTTAAACACAACTACCCTAAAAAAGTTCAAGATTTTAAAAATTCCATGGGAATGTATTAGCATACAGGCTTATGGAATCTCTTCCCCTGAAAACTAATAACCTCATAGAAACAGGTTGGAAGAAAGACTACCTTACCTAACGCAAGTTTAGAAGAGGATGATTGAGGAGCTCAGATGTCTACATATCAGGATGCAAAAAACAGCATTAACAACACTTCTAAAAATGAAATAGGAAGTGTTCTGCGTATTAATGAAATAGCTGTCTTTCTTTTCTTTTGAGCTAATGCAGAAACGGTGGTAGAAAATGGAGATATATAATTTTAAGCAAGATGACTCTGTGAAGAACTCTATGCTCCCTAACTACACCGAGCACAGGAAACTACTAGTTAAACCTAAAGTAACCTCGAATCACAATTTCCATTTAATTTCTCACATCTCTAAATAAATTAGAGAAGAAAGTTAATGTAAACAAATAATACCAATTCTTCACAATCTCTTTCAGAAAATACAAAAAGAGGGAACACTTCTCAAAGTCATTTTAAGTGGCCAGCATTAGGGGCGCCAGGGTGGTTCAGTTGGTTAAGTGTCTGACTCTTGATTTCAGCTCAAGTCATGATCTCAGGGTCAAGGGATCGAGCCCAGCGTCAGGCCCCGTGCACAGGGGGTGGGGGGTGGGGGGGAGTCTGCTTGGGATTCTCTCTCTCCCTCTTTCTGTGACCCTCCCCCTGCTCTCTCTCTTTTTCTAAATAAATAAATGAAATCTTTAAAAAAGGGGCATTACCCAAATATCAAAAACAAAAACAGTATAAAAAAAGAAAATGACAAACCAACAACCCCCTTAAAAACCGATGTAAACATCATCAGCAAAATAATAGCAAATTGAATCCGACAATTTATACAAAGGAAGATACGTTATGACCAACTGTGGTTTATCCCAGGAATACAAAGCTGGTTCAACATGCTATTATCAATCAATGTAATTTACCATGTTAAGAGACTAAGTTAAAAAAAAAAAAAAAACCCACATGATCATCTCAATCATTCCACAAAGTTCAACATCCAGTCATGATGAAAATTCTCAGCAACCAGAAATAGAAGTAAACTTCCATAACCTAATAAAAAGTACCTACAAAATACCTATCATTAACATCTTACTTAATGATGAAAGACTAAATATCTTTCTCTCCAAGGTCAGAAATAAGGCAAGAATGTCCTGTCTCACCACTCCAATTCAATCTCACAGTGGAAGTCCTAACCAGTGCAATAAAGAACAAGAAATAAAAGATAAACAGATTGTAAACAAATAAGTAAACAAGGAAATACGGTTGTCTATGTAGAAAATCCCAAGAAGTTATTTTAAAAAACCCGTAGAATTAGTGAATTTATTAGCAAGACCATGGGATACAAGGACAGGAATCAAGCCAGTCATATTCCTATACACCATCAATAAACAATTGGAATTTTAAATCAAAAGAATATATATTTACAATTACACTCCCCTCTCCCAAAATGAAGTACTTAAGTGTAAATCCATCACTCCTTATCACCTTTAAAAGCAAAGTCATTTCTACTGGTCAAAGTTAAAATAAAAATCCAAACAATTAAACAATTAATCTTAGTTCTAAGACACAGCCTTAAATCTTTACAAACAGAATTTCAATCTCCAAAAAGCATTCATTTTCACAAAAAAAATCAAACATGTTGAAGAATTAATAATCTGTGTTTTAGAAAAAAATGTCGTCACCTGTTCATGTTCAGTACCGAAATCATCATCCTCTGCTCCAATAATATGAGGTGCTATACGGGGAGAGGGACTCCCGATGAGTGACTGAGTATCCTAGAGAAAAGGAACAGAAAAATTATCTGTTGGTCAAATCAGAGAAAGAATGAAACCAAATCATCAAAAAGAAATGGTTCACTAAAACTGACTCCTTTTTAATTATTTTCCTTTAAGTGCTTTATTTTCAAAGAAGTGATTCTCAAATTTTCAAGGCAATGAATCACTTTAGCAAAGAAAACCACAACAGTATCGACTGTTTCTTGGAGAGAAAAAAAAAAAAAAACACTTCCTCTGGAAATAATTAACACCTTTTGCTCACTACACTCTTGGATATCTGATTCTAATCACTCTGTGTGTACTCCATTCATTTCATATAAACCTTGTCACAAGCAGAAAGTTGGCTTACGTAAATAATTACAATTCTAAAGAGACAGTAAGAAAAGTGAATGAAGACCACAGGACAAAGGAAAAACGAGAGTAGAAATGATAAGACGAAGTGAGGAGAGAGGTTAATACAAAGACTTCTATTAACATCGCATAATTGAAAGCTGTCCCTGAACCCTATTTTTTCATTTTCAATTCATTTTCATAAGTGCATAATACAGGGTTTTTCAACCCTGGCACTGTTGACATTTGGGGCCGGATAATTCTTTGTTGTGGGGGCTGTCCTGTGCATTGTACGATGTTGAGCAGCATCCTGGGCCTCTACCCACCCACTACATGCCAGCAGCAGCCTCCCAGTCATGACAATCAAAAATGTTTCCATACACTGCCAAATGTTCCCTGAGGGACAAAATCACTCCTGGTTGAAAATCGCTGGCATAATGCAACAAAATTTTCAAGTAATCACACAAAATTAAAATCATTTTGTATAGAAACAAAGAACCAAAATTGCAAACATAAATTGTAGGTTGGCAGAGCTCCCTCCCATGCAATAATAGCTCATCCATTTGTCAGCTCACTTACAAAGTTGGATTTAGCATGAAAAAGGCAGTGTAAGGGCATTAATGTATAATGTAAAAAATATGGGATGGTTGAAGATCACAAATACTAAAATCTAAGGCCATGCAGTATGAAGAGAAATACAAATTTGGGAAGATCTAGGGAAAGAATGAGTTCGGCTCAAACCTGACAGCAGCTGAACATGCAAGATGTGGGGCTGAGCAAGGAGAGCGGGGCTATCCTGATTTGGGGGTCGTGTGTATAGGAGTCCGAGCCGAAGCTATGCACATGGATCCAGTTATAAACAAAATACTCTGTAGCTGTTGTCTCCCCTCCTTAGGTGTGATGCAGATCTCTGTATCTGCATCTTCTAAACTCAATTCTGCCTTTCTTACTCCTTGTTTTTTGAACGCCAAGGCTGTAGTCATTTTTTAAAAATATGGTAAAACAAGGGAAATGTGTTTAGAGTGGTTGTCAGACAACTTCTGATTTTATAGCTGTTTCAGTGTCTCTGATTTTTCAGTAGTCCTTATGTTGCTAATAATTGATGGGTCACAATATGCTGTTAAATCTTTTACTATAAAACTTGATACAAATCTAATTAAAAAACAAAATCAGAATGCTAAAAAGTATTCACTTAAGAATATGCAAAATCCAGCAATTCCACTTCTGAATAAATACCCAAAAGAACTAAAAGAAAGAACCTAACAGATATCTGTATTTCCATGGTCATAGTGGCATTATTCACAATAGCCAAAAGGTGGAGACAACCCAAGTGTTCACTGACAGATGAGAGGATAAACAAAACGTGGTCTATACATACAATGGCTTATTATTCAGCCTTAAAAAGGAAGGAAATTCTGACACCTGCTATGACACGGGTGAACCTTGAGGACATGATGCTAAGTGAAATAAGCCAGTCACAAAAGGACAAACTCATATGATGCTTCTCATATAAGGTCCCCAAAGTAGTTACATTCAGAGGAAAATGGTGGTTGCCCAGTGCTGAGGGTAGTGGGGAGGCAGTGTCGAATGGGTACTGAGTTTGAGTTGGAGAAGAGGAAAGACAGATACGGGGAAGGCTGTGCAACAGTGACAATACAACTTAATGACAATGAACTGTATACATAAACTTATTAAAATGGTAAATTTTATGTTATGTGTATTTTACTACAATAAGCGAAATAACATTAAACCACCTATTAATGTCAACCAACCACCATGGAGTAGCTCTCCATTTATCAAATCTTTATTAGTAATTTTAAACTTTTTCTCTCCCAACCCGCACCCCCACCCCCAATCCACAAATATGAGGTGTGTCTGTCTCTGTAGAAGGAAAGCTAAAGAAAGCACGACCATGTCGTGGATTTCATACTCACAGTGTCCTGAGTCACTTCACTTTTCTCTGGGTTTTCCTCTAGATAAATCCTCTCTTTCAGGGCACTCTTGGGACTCTTAAAAAAAAAAAAAAAGAAGACATTCAGTTCATTTCAATAGGCTCACCAAAAAAAGGATAAGGAAAAATAGGGTGAAAAAATAAGGTTCTGAATTTCACATTTGTATTTGAAACCACTAAATATCTTTCCATATAATACCTGGCTGTACTACTTGTTTTCCTGACTTTGACAAGACACTTATTCTCAGCTGTTTTAGTTTTATGTTGATAAACAGCATCACACTAAGAGAACAGTTGTACTTCGTGAACTCCAGGCCTACAGGCTAATTTCTACCAAGTAACCCTAACTAGATGTATTACGTACCTCAAACTCATTATGTTAAAGTCAAACTCTGTCTTTATCCACCTCTTCTAACCCCCCTGCCCCCAACTCTTCTTTCTATGCAAGTTAAAAGCATTCTGGCCTATTTATATGAATAGAATTAAGCTTCTGTCTATGTTTCTGTGAGTATCATGTGAAAGTGATTTGTGGATGCTTATAAAATTTGCACGGTATGTTTGGGATGTCCTAATATAAACCAGAAACAATATGATGTGCAGAACTTCAATTCTGGATGATAAGCAACACCCCAAAGCAAGGGAGCCATTCTTCAGAGCAGCTGAAAATGAGGTACTAAGAGATTTTTGTGTGAATGCCAACAGGGAAGATGCGTGCTATTTATACATATATCAAGATAGCACAAGATAAAGACAATAGTAGCTTCAAATATAAACCCCACCTTGGAGAAATGGAGGACTTTGGGTACTGGGCAAGAGATATAAAAGAAGAAGCTAGAATAACCTTGTCACACCAAAAAGTAAGAAAGTTACCAAAGGTACTGGGATGTCATGTTAAAAGAATACTGAAGACAACTCAAGGGAGCTCCCACTGCCCAGAAGAGGGACAGTTTCAGCAACAACAAAAAGTAATGACTGCAATGGACTAAAACACAATAAACAAATATGTTAAAGTCTACGAATTCAAAATATTACACATATGCATGTGCACACACCGCCCCCCCCACATTAGTGACCATTAGATTTTGTTAGGGTATTGACTCCTCTGGAAACACATATATAGAGGGATACGAATCAAGTATTTATCCTGCATTTCCTGCATAAGCTATATTTTAGGGTAACCTAAAAGCTAGTAAGAAAAGATTCTTCTTTGTAAAATAATTCCACTAGTAAATACAGAAGGAATGACAAAATTATAATATCATCCTTTTGAAACCACTAATTAAATAATGGATGCAGGCATTTTGATCATCAGTGACTGGTAAGAACATTACATAAAAGCTTAGTGGAAAAGTTGATTATGAAGGAACCATGCTGACATCATCTGAACACCTTAAACAAACCTACAGTCACAGAAAGACAACCAGACATTCACCTCCTGATGTGATGTAACAGGATGAACACAGTCCCACCCATGAATTGTTCTTGCCAAACAACAGCTCCTAATCTGATCAAGACTCTAGATCTCACTAATAGCTTTCAGGAAATATATAGAGATGAACACATGAAACAATACCATGAAAATACAATTAAAAATGTGAGTTTGTTTTACTGGGCATATTACCCAGTTTCTGTCACAAAAAAATAGCAAGGTAAAAAAAAGAGGAGGTAATAAATTAAAAGACTTATGAACCAAAGGCTGAAGACCTTGACTAGATCCGGACTCAGATAAACCAACTGCAGAAAGATCATTATGAGACAATTAGGGTAATCAAATTGTATATTAAGAAATTTAATTTTGGGGCGCCTGGGTGGCTCAGATGGTTGAGCGTCTGCCTTCGGCTCAGGTCATGATCTCAGGGTCCTGGGATCGAGTCCCGCATCGGGCTCCCTGCTCCTTGGGAGCCCGCTTCTCCCTCTGCCTCTCTCTCTCGCTCTGTCTCTCATGAATAAAAAAAAAAAAAAAGAAATTTAATTTTATGATAATGTTATTATGGCTGTATTTTTGAAAAAGTCTTTTCTCTTAAAGACACAGATTAATGAAATAATGTCTTGGATTTATTTGAAAATACTCCAGTATTTGGAGGGTGTGAAGAATGGGGGACACAGACAAAACAAGTCTGAGTACTTGTTGATGACTTCTGAGGCTGGGTGATCAGGTACATAGAAGGGATTGTTATGCTAGTCTCTATTTTTCAATAGGTTTAAAATTTTTCCGCAATAAGTTTTTAAAAACATCAGCCACAAATTCACAAAAATCAGAGAGGCAGATGCTCTAGATTTTAGATGATGATTTGTGATGAACCTGCTTCTGTTGTGAGGACTGGGTGTGTGGGTATTCTTCAAAGCCTTCTCTGAGATGAGCATAAGCAGGGAGCTTTACAATAATAATGATACCACAAACATTACAAGAAGATCATTTTATAAAAGTGAGCAGAAAATGGGAAAAAAAATTAAAGGCACTGATTGAAAAGACAGGAAGACTGGTTCCTACAGTCTTAATACAAATGTGGAAATCCATAAGCTAAAAGCAGCACATCTTTCGCTTCAAATAGATGCTTGTGGGAATTAAACTAGTTTGTTATGAGTTCAGTGAATATCCTATCTGTACTGTATCATCCCTGCCCTGGATTTCTACAACATCCATTTATTATTTACCTGGCTTCAGTTTCCTCTATATAAAATGGTGACACTACTTCTTTGATATTATTGGGAGAATTTAAAAGAGTATCTGTACAGCATTAGTCACAACTGCTGATACAGAGGAGGTAGTCAATAAATGTTAACTATTTATTAGCCATTCAGCGCACATTTGTTAAGGGCCTACTAAGCCAAGCAGTCCTCTGTCCTTACAGATCTCCCTGTCTCTTTATTCTAATTCATTTCCACACTGACATGTTCCTGATTGTGCTTCTCCTCTGCAAGCAAGATAAAGCCCAAACTCTCATTCATTCTGTTGTTCATTCAAATACTTATTAAACATCTACATCTCAAACAGTCTCAAGTCACTGGAATGCCTATTTCTACACTTGCCAATTCATTCTGTGTTTCATAAAGTTATATTTCTAAGCCACACATTTTATTGTAACATTCCTCTAAATACAAGATAAAATTCAAACTTTTCTTTCGTACCATTTGTTGTGAATTCCTAATTGTAGGATCTGCTAGGCTTTGGAGACATAAAGTCAAATTAAGACTGTCCCTGTCCTCTTAAGAAACTATCTAATGGTAGAGACATGAAAACAGAGAGGAGAAGTAGCGCTAAGTCTAAAGGGAGAATGCAAGAAGGATTCCTAAGCATAGTACTGCTAGAACAACGTGAAGCCTTTTACAACCTGAACTTAAGCCTTTGTTTCTAAGATAAACTTTAGCCATTCCATCCATAACCATAATATAGCAATAAAATTTTCACCGGTCTCCCAAATGTTACACATTTTAATTCCTCAGTAGCTTTGTTTATATTTAGAGTACTGGTACTTTAGAGCTAGATGTAGGCAGATCACCTATTATCTGGGTAAGTTAGCAAATTAGTTAACTCCCTTTGGCCAGTTTCTTTTGTAAAATTATGTTAACAATAGTACTACTTCATAAGGTTGTTTTGAGAATTAACTAAAATAAGGAATGTAAAACATTCCTTACAGCATATGGCATGTATGCCCAATAAATGTTTTTTTCTTGAGATAAAACTGAAATTTCTCATTAAAACCTTGAGCCCATCCAATCATAAGACTGCTAGCATTATCTTTCCAAAAAAAAAAAAAAAAACCCTCAAATTTTCCTTGAATGAAGTTCTGATTCATTGGGCCTAAGCCTCAAAAGGTAGCCTGAATGATGGCTTTAACCAGTGGCTTTCAAATTTTTTTTACCATGACCTTCAATAAGAAATTTTACATTGTCAATAGCACGCGAACACACACGTGCATATGTGTGTCTAACAAAAGTCACAAGAAGTAGCACTTACCTTATCTGCATTTTGCAAAACACATTATTTCCTATTCTATTCTTTTCTTTAATGCTAGTCCCAACCCACTAAATTGATTCCACAATCCACAGTTTCAAAAAACTGGTTTAGACTATTTTCCTCATCACTTTTCTAAAGAGGGTGATCTATTTTTAAATCATTATTCCTATCACTGCATACTACTTACAAAGGATTGTTGAGCAAGCAACAGTGACCTTAGCTGGTAAGTATTCATATGACTATGGTGGTACATCATAATCAACCTGAAATGTTTTCTTATGATCTTCCTAACAAATAATCCATCTTCACCTGGCAATTTGGGGGTTAATCAAGAAAGTGTTACTAAACAAGGGCTATTAACTCAAGTCTATCTAACAGGACTAAGGCTTTTCCTCTTTGTAATGGCAAAGTGCCCCATGATTCAAGACTGAGTCACTCTGACCACAAATGGAATATTAACATGCTCTTAAAGATATCAACAGCTGGCCTCTTGGTTCAGTAAAAAAACACTAGCATTATTAACTTCTCAACCCACAAACAAGAGGCCTGCTGGGAAATTCCACCTCCTCAAAAGAAACATTTGGCAACGTGTGTCTAAGGGAAAAAGTGACCTCTGGAATTAAAAGCTCACAGACAACAGTGTCCAGAATTTCTGCTCATCAAAATGCTACCTTAAGAGTGGTGGTGATAAAAAGTAAATAATAAGAGAACGCTTCTAATTCACTTAACTCGTAATTCACGTAACTTAAAATCAAATACGGGGAGGAGCTGTAAAGAAGAAAACAAGATCAAGACGTAGAACACTTACGTCTGCGCTGTCACTACTGGGCCGAGAAGCATCTCCGCTGCTAGAGTCAATTCTGCCTAGCCCGTCACCAGGATCGGCTTCCACCTCACTGACTGTCAGGGGGTCACCTAAAGGCTTGGAGGATGTAACAACAGCTCCATCCTAAAACGGATTAGACACATGCACACACACCAACACAATAAAAAAAAATGCATTACTGACTGCATTAAGAATCAGACTTGCACTGTCATCTAAATGGAGACTGGTAAAGGTTGGCCAGTTTGATGTGATCAAGAATGCTTAAGCCTCTAAAAATTTAAAGCATAAGTAACTACTAATTCTGTGGTTCTAAAATGGCATGATCTTAGAGACAGGGAAAGTGATATTTTAGCAAGGAGAAAAAAAGTTCAAACTTCTGAATAGAGCAAAAAGATAAAATAGTTGGTTAAATTACATAATTCATATTTCCTGCCCATTATAGTAAAGATTATTACACTATAACTTCTGGTTAACTGCCTCCCAACACTTTAGAATTTCAATAAATTTCCAATTCTGGGACACAATGCTATAATATAATACAGGCTTTTAGACCAGGAACCACGTTTTTATTGTTTGAACAGAGTAAGAATGTCATCTTTACTCAGTAATTACAACAACATAAAACTGTCAACATTACTGAGGCATAATACTCAAAATCTCATATAGCTAATGGGATTGAAAGTAATGAAAAAAGCTAAATACTGTGTAACCGAAAGTACACTGAACCAGGAAGTCAGGAGATCGTACAGCTGTGTGACCCTGGCTAAGTCATTTAACCTGTTTAGGCCCTAATTTTCTCAATCACATGATTTTTTGACTTTAAAACGAGCAGATAAGGATACATGATCTCAAAGAATCCTTTGAGTTCCATGAAACTGGGGCTTTCACTCACAGACTCAGGAAGCATAATAAATCAAGAGCTTTTACTCATTTCAAATGGTACAGGAATATGTCCATTTTGCTTTAAGATGAGATTATAAGGAGCTTCTCATATCCCAGACCTGAATATTATAGAGTAGAAATGTGGTTGAGCATTGTTTCTAATGAGACCACCATCTCCATAACTTACACCTGTGTAACAAATTCTGTGTAAATCTAGTTTAAAATTTCAGTAAAAAATATAGTTGTTAAGAATATGAAAGTGCTCTGAACTCATCAGACTGGGTTGAAATTCCAGTTCCACTGCTTTTAAGCTACATGACCTGAGACAGATTATTTAATCTCTCTGAGTTTCTCTAAGTGCATATGTAAAATGGGGGCAAACAATAGTAGTATCCAATCTCGGGGGGTTGCAGTGACGATTGGCAAGAAAACACTTGTCTCTGTCTTTAGCATAATGCCTGTCATTTTACAAAATCTTATGTTCCTACTTAAAAACATAACTGCATTCTCTTTCAAAATGGGAGAATGGGAGAATGAGCCTCGAAATGTAAACATATGTATCTAAATACATTTTAGTAGTTTGTCACAACAAAGCAAGGGCACTCAATTCTTTTTAAAATTATTATGGAACAAAGAAACATGATACCACGAGCAAGCAAAGAATCAGAAGCCCACATTTCTTCTAGCTAATCATTATTTCTGTAACATGCTACACAGGACATCCTCTTGGCCTATGCTAGAAAAAATAACTTCTTAAAAAAGGCAACTGCAACATTCTCTAACACATTCCCAGAAGAAAAATCTCCTGCAAAAAGTTGGGTAGCACTTTTAATAGTGATGCTACCTGAGCAGAGCCTGTGGCTTTGGATAGCTGCTCTTGCAGCTCAGGAATGTGTTTCTTGGCCTCTTGGATCTCTTTTAGCAATCTTTGGGCAGGTGTTCGGTTGTAATCTTCCTGCAATAACTGAAAAGTTATAAAAATATTTTGAGAATTAATTACTTATGTCAAGAAAATATAGAAAAAGTCCATTCTTAATAAAATAGCGGATGGCATTGATTACAATACTGGTTGACTGTGATCACAACAAATACCAACTCAACTAGGCCCACTTACATTTTCACTGGCCTGTAAACTGCCCCATTTCTAATTTAGTACCTGCAGCCGTTCCTGCTCTTTCTGTAACATTTTTCTCAGAATTTCTACTTTCTGGTTATGAACCACATTGTTTTCCTCCTAGAAAAGAGATAAAAAAAAACCAACAACACCAACCAACCAACCAATACAGGGCAAGTGAAGCTAAAATAAACAGCGGTTATAGAGATAGGCTGTGAGACATGACACTCAAAGTCGGAAGGTTACAGGGAAATTTCAGCCCTTCTATTTCATTTTTACTAAGCTAGATTCAAGAAAACATTAAATATTGATATTAGCTGGGGAAATGAAGTCGCCTTAAGTACAAGAATACTATCTTACACTTTCCGTCCTTTGGATCTGTACTGTCAATCCCCATGCATGACTCAACTTCCCAGTACTTCCTGACTGAAATACTCAGACAGCTCCCTAACTCCTCTCCACCATCTCTTCTTAGAAGTTTCACAACCTTGTAATATTTGATCTAATTAGCCTTCCTCAAATCCTGCTACAATCACATCACTCTCTGGCCCCCCCCCAAATTTTAATGGATTCTTACTGCCTCTCCAGTTACAGGTAAATTAGCCTGGTAGCTGTGATTTTTCAAAATAAATAGTCCTACTGTTTTCAAGCCTCATCTCCCACTACTTAAATCCTTAACAGGCACCAGCCAAACAAAAGTCCTGGAACTTCCCCCAAATACTTGGTGCTTTCTTGGCTCTTTCTCTGTATTTATTCTACTTCTTTCACCTGGGCTCCTTTCCTCCCCATTGCCACCACTTAAATGTTACCTGTTTTTCAAGACTCGATTCAAATAATAGCTTTCCATAAAGTCCTTCCTTATTACAACCGGCTGTGCTTCCTCCCTCCTCTGAATTGTCACAGAACTTAATATTTCCCCCCTCATAATGTCTACATTCTGCCTTGGATTATAATTACTCGTATACTCTTGATTCTATCTCAAATAACAGGGTTTATGTATCTACTATATGCCAAGCAATATTTCAGGTCTGGGGGACATAACAATAAACAAAACTCTGTCCTCTGAGAGTATATATTCTAAGATAACTAAGGACATTGAACATAGGGTATCTTAATTATATTTTTGTGAATGGCACCCTGTTTTGTACATGGCAGGTGTTAAATATTTCTTAATTCAATCTGCTATCCCAACACTCTGTAATCATCTCAAATTATGACATAATTTTTTTTATATTAGGAAGCTATTTTCCAGTATCCTGAACGTAAATCTATCAGATCAATACTTTAAAACTCTTAAAATAAAGCAAAGGCATCATTATAAACTGAGCGTTTAAAAGAAGTTTTCCCCTCTTACCCCCATGAGCACAGGACTAGTAATTCTCTCCATGTTCCCAGATGCTCCAGGTGAATGAGGGGATGTCATGATGGGAGACATATGTCCAATGACTGATGGCTCTACTTCAGATTCAGCGAGTGGAATCTGGGGCGACCCAGGTGGGCGTCCCTGCACAGTGAGAGCTACATAGGAACCAGCTTGCGGTGGAGAGAGAGAGGAAGGAAAAATAACACTTATCAAAAGCTTGTTTACAGCATTTTGCTACTTCCCCTTTGACCATTCTATAAGATCCAGTTATGTGAGCAAGTTTGATCATCTGCTAACCATTGTTCCACAGAAAAAGAAACCAACTTGTCATTTCTTCTTTATGACTCCCCTAAAAATCTAAAAGAACAATGCCATTTTCAGATGGCAAATTACTTTTCATAAGATCAGATATTACACAAAGGCAAATAAAACTTATAATCCCAAGAATTGTTTTTAATTTAGGGAAGGGTGAGTTAACAGCAACCTTATACTAATGTTTATGTTCAATTAATTTCTTAAATGTACATTTAGATTTAAGTAATCATATTTTGAAATGATACTAATTAGGTAGGGTTTAACTGATTTTCTGGAATATCATGATGCAATTTTAAATTAACTTAAAAAAATGAGAAGGGACAAAAAAATATCCCACAAAAATTAGAAAAGAACACACAGTAAATGTGTTTTTTTATTTTGTTGTTTTATTTTATTTATTTATTTATTTTAAGATTTTTATTTATTTGACAGAGAGAGACACAGTGAGAGAGGGAACACAAGCAGGGGGAGTGGGAGAGGGAGAAGCAGGCTTCCCTGCTGAGCAGGGAGCCCGATGCGGGGCTCGATCCCAGGAGCCCGGGATCATGACCTAAGTCAAAGGCAGACGCTTAATGACTGAGCCACCCAGGCGCCCCGTAAGATTTTATTTTTAAAATACGGAGAAGACAGAACTTCACTAGGCATATTACAGGAGGAAGAAAGTACAGAAAGCAAAACCAACCCTGACCAGAAAGACTCGACAACAGACATTCGTTATTTATCTAGCATCAAGAAGAAAGGAGACTTTCCAAATCAATGACTTTTCTAGATAACTGACCTCTGAATGACAAAATCTTCCTCTTAGACTTTCCAATAGAACTTCTAAATGTATTTCACACTTTTCCCCCTATTTAACCACCCATGGAACTCACTGTCAATTATTTCAGTGTTTGAGTTAGAATGTTCTAAAAGCCTTTTTCTACACTTAATGGTCATAAGTGCAATGATTTGGGGGTATTTTAGGGACATACACTTTTTAAGGTTTTTCAATTGTATTTCTGTCAGAAAGTTATGTATTATAGCTTATTTACTTATCCATGTATAAGTAAATATATATATATTTATGCATACATAAATATACTTATTTACTTTACTTGCCTCCACTAGCTTTCTATTTCTTCCCCTCTCTTCTACAGCTATGTTTAAACTGCTTTCATTTAAAATCCCTTTTATCATGTCCAGAGGACGCATTACACAGTAGGACATGAGGGACCAGTACAAGTACCCAAGTGTGAGGCATTGCAAATTTAGATCTGTTCTAGAGGCTCATAGTGTTTTATCCTTACTTTAAAATTTTACACAGGCTCTCAGTATTGGATAAGTCATCTTATCTGCTACAGTGCTAGGATTTACTTTTTTTAAGTAAAATTTACACTGGAATGAGTAAAATATATAACCTAAAAAGCTAAAGAAATAATCTTACTCTTTGTAATAGTTATCAGGCATATATTTATGACCAAAAACCACCATATTAATGTAGCACATAAAAATGTATAAACCACAATCTCATTACATAAATAATCAAACTGATTCAAGAATGGGGATTTAATTTTGATCATCCCATTTCTTTTTACAAAGTACTAACGTGAAGAACTATGATCACAGGGACAATTTAAAGCCCTGGTAGTCTGATGAAAAGGTAAAAAGGATTCAGGCATTGCTTTAGTTAAACAGTAAGATGGGCAATTCAGTTTATTAAATTTATTCTAAAGATGTCCACTCTATGAAACAAAAACAGGATTAAATAAAATAGTAGTGTTTCTGCTTGGCCATAAACAACTATCTCTTATTTGTAGTCTACTGTGGAAGAGTTTTGATGCAGAAGATTCTAAATTCTTAACCCTGGAGATTTCCAAGAGATCACTACCCTGGTTTTTATTTAATGATTTACTTATATGAGGAAACATGACTATGCTAGATGATTTTTAAAGTTCCACTTCAGTTCATCCGGGCCATTCCATCTGAATTCTCAGTCTCTTCCCGCTCAGATGACTCATGCATTTCTTTCAAATATATGCTTTCTATATTACCAAGAGTGACAAGGATATTATAATCAACCACATACATGAAGTGGACAAAAGATAGTTATTATTAATTAAGAATTTTCACCTCAGACTTCCCTTTAATGCAGGGTTAAAGCAAACTCCAGCCAAGAGGCTAAGTCTGACCCACAGATTGTTTTGACAAAATAAAGTTTTCCTGAAATACAACCACACCCATTCATTTACATACTGCCTATGGGTGCTTTTGTGCTACAAAGAGAAAACAGAGTAGTAGACCATCAGGCCCACAAATCCTAAAATATTTACTCTCTGGCTTATTACATAAGTGTTTTCTGATCCTTGCTTTAAGGCATTCAGAAACCAATTAAAACTGAGAATAACATTCACCTACATTTGATTAGCTTCACCACTTCCAAATGGTTTGAATGAGTCACCAGAGTTCCATTCACCTAGTAAGAAAATGAAAATAGCATGTCAGATACATTCCATTGAGAATGGATATATTGACTTTAGGAATTATTATACATAATACAACCAATTATATAATATAGCACTTAGAACTATATTAAAATATGTATATATTTGGTTCAATATTCACTTTTATCGATATTCTTCTGTAAGGTATACTCAGCAACAAAATGAACTTGAATACAAAACAAGGCCTTGATTTAAAGGACATTATAACTAACCATTAAAAATGACCAAACATACCATTTCTGACAACCACATATATTTTGACCTATTATTTTATTTTATTTTATTTTTTTAGAGAGGGAGAGAGAAAAGGGGAAGAGGAGAAGAGGGAGAGAGAGAACCTTAAGCAGGCTCCATGCCCAGTGCGGAGCCCAACATGGGGCTCAATCTCACAACCCGGAGATCATGACCTGAACCAAAATCAAGAGTCAGATGCTTAACCAACTGAGCCAGCCAGGTCCCCCTTCACCTATCATTTTAATTTCTACTTCTTTGGTTATCAGTGAGGTGAGACATATCCTCCTTAATACATTATTTATTTCAATTACTTTGGGGAACTGCCTGATAAAATTCTTTGTCTTTTTTTCTATTAGGCTATCTATCTATTTATTTATTCTTCTCTTAGGAATTTAAAAGTGCTCTTTACAAGTAAGGTATTCTACTCTGTAGTTTCAAATAATTTTTTCCAGATAGTTGTTTGTAAATATATTCATGGTGCCTTTTCCTGTATAATAATTTGATTTTTTAAGTATTCAAATTCCTCAACCATCTCAAGAGTAATGACTGACCAATCCACTCTTCCTATACTGGTCAGAATTCAAGGCCTGTTGCTGGACTGATAGGACTACATCTAGACTAGAGCAACTTGTTTTGAATTAATCCCTACCATCTCATCTCACACAATACCCATATACATAACATTTTTTTTTTTTTTTTTAGCTATTCTTATACCTCTGTAAAATTCATTTGGAAGACTCATCAGTTTGACAAATAATGACACATCTCCCCAGTCATATTAATATATTTTGATGAGAGGGGCGCATGGGTGGCTCAGATGGTTAAGCGTCTGCCTTCAGCTCAGGTCATGATCCCAGGGTCCTGGG